TATAACAATCTTAAAACATACTTAAAACAGTAGCAAATACATGAAACAAAAACATATAGCCATGAAGGGGAAATACACAAAACCATAATTATAATAGAGTCCCAGATTCTGTTTTCAGTGATTGAAAGAATAGACGGAAAAATCAAGCAGTAAAGACTTAAATAATACTGCCTACTAAGACCTGACATTTATTCAACATTCTACCCCAAACAGAAAAATACACGTACTTATCGACCACACAAGATACGTTCACTCAGACCAAATGCTGAGCCATAAATAAATCTCCATATTTAAAAGACGAAATTCTCACAAAATACATTCTCTGGTCTCGGTGGAATTATATTAGAAATAAGTAACAAGATATAACTGAAAAATTCCCATGCATTTGAAAATTAAACAATACACTTCTAAATAACCTCTGTGGAAAAATAGAAATCCTTAAGAAAGTAGAAAATATTTTCTACTCCATGCTAAACAAAAACATAACAAATCAAAATTTGTAAGATTCAGCTGAAGAGGGAAATTTAAGAGTTTAAAATATTCATATCAGAAAAGAAGAAAAGCCCAAATTCTTGGATTCAAGTTTTGATCTTAAGAAGCAAAATACAACTAGAAGAAGAAATAGCAGAAATTGGTTCGCTAAAACCACAAGTAAAGAAAACGAAGAAAGCCAAAAGTCTACACTTTGAAAAGATTAAAAGAAACGATAAGTCCTTGATAATCAATATTGACAATATCAAAGTAGGAGAAAGAGAAGTAGAATACTTGAGAGTACTCTCCTTTGATGCAATACACCTACTGAGAGAGGAAAGGGGAGGACTGGGAAAAGGCAGGAGAGGAAGATCGCATAAATCCCAAAGATTTCAGAACAAAAGGTGACATTGATACGTATCTGGTAGATAGATAAGACAAGGATTATAAGGGAACACTATAAACAAACACATGCTAAAGATTCAATGACTAGAAGAATAGGGCACATTACTTTGTGGGCAAAAAACAAATATCCATTTACCACAACCAACACAAGAAGAAATAAAAATTCTGACTAGACCTAAACTCATAAAGCTAAAAAAAGTTCCACTCAGATATTGTTCCTGAATTTGAGAAAATATTTAAGGAAGAGATAATACCAGCCCTATAAAAAACCTGTACAGAACACAGAGGAAGAAGAATACTTCCCAAATTATTTATAAAACAAGCCATCCTAATTCCAAAACTGGAAAAGACATAAGAAAAAAATAAAACTACCTATTGATATCTCCAGTGAACACAGATGCAGAATATCAAACACTAGCAAATCAGATCTAGTAACTTCTATACTAAAGATAATAACACATCACAACCAAGTGTGACTTATTTCAGAAATACAAAGTGAATTTACCTTTGAAAATCATTCAAGATGAGCTCGGTGGCTCAGCCTGTAATCCCGCACCTTGGGAGGCTGAGGTGAGTGGATTGCCTGAGCCCGTGGGTTCAAGACCCGTCTGGGCAACTTGGCGAGACCTCATCTCTACAATAAATAAAAAATCAGCCAGGCATGGTAGCACATGCCTGTAATTCTGGCTACTCGGAAGGCTGAGGTGGAAGGATCGCCGGGGCCCAGCAGGTTGAGGCTGCGGTGGCTGGGAGAGGCCACTGCACTCCAGTCTGGGCAACAGAGTGAGACTCCAACTCAAAAAAAAAAAAGAAAAAGAAAATCATTCAGTAGAATGCATCATATTAAAAAAAACAAGGATAAAGAAAACATTACCCGAACATACTCAGAAAAACCATTTCACAACTATGAAAATAAACAAATGAGGTTAGTAAGGTCACAAGATACAAATGCAATATAAAAAATAAAATTTTATATAATATAAAATACTTGGAGAAGAATATTTAAAAAATCTATCTCTAATGGTGTAAAAAAACCACATACCTGGCAAATATTTTAATGAAATACTTGTAAGATCACACACTAAAAACTAGAAAATATTGTGAAAAGTCAGAAGACTTACATCATGGAGAGGTATATCAAATTCCCAGAGAGAAAGACCCATGATTAAAATATTAACTCTACCCAACTGGATGGATAGATTCACGAAAGTTTCAATCACAATTTCCAAATGTCTTTGTAGAACGTGACAAGCTGATTTGAAAAGTATCTGGAAGAGCAGAAGGCTTACAGCCCAAATTTTGCAGAAGAAAATGGCAGCATGTTCACAGCGCCTAACTTCAAGGCGCAAAATAAGCAACAGGAATCAACACAGTGTGGTGTGGCATATGGACAGACATATAAACTAATGGAACCCCAGGGGAACCCAGGAACAATCTATACAGATAAGGCCCATTGGGAAAGGGAATGTCTCCTCAACACATGACATGCAAGGTCTGGCAGTTAAGCTCGTGAACTCATGCTCGAACAAGTGCTCCACACCTCATTGCCGAATATCACTTCAGTCGCCTTTGAAGTCCTCCCCTTGGGAAGCTACGCGCCAATGCCAGTGCCAAGGCCACTCGTCAAAGCAAGCTCAGAGCTCTTTTTTCTAGAACAACCATCAGAACTGTCATCGTATTACCCTAAATGTGCTGAATGTCATCCAAATGTCTTCCTTTCATTATTTCCTTTATCTTTGGGGTAAAGTAAAAAGTCACCGGGCGCCAGACCAGGTGAGGAGGGAGGGCGTTTCAATACAGTTATTTGTTGACTGGCTAAACACTCCCTCACAGACAGCGTGAGCTGGTGCATTGTCGTGATGCAAGAGCTCCTTTGGGAGCATCTTTGCACACACCTTTCTCAATGCCAAGATTTTCAATTAAGGTTTCCCTGTTTCTTTCTCGATGTTTATTTGGTCTGCTCTGCCTCTTACAGTCAGCCAATGATCTGACACACAATTCGACAAATTTTTGTAGTAGCTTCGCAGTTCCATTTGTTACTAGCCATCCTGACTTCTCTTCATTGGTGACACTTTTTCTCCCCTCAGGAAAACATTTCATCCATTTGTACACTGCTGTTTTCTTCATGGCATTATCCCCATAAATGTGTACTAACTTGTTCCTGATTTCACTTTCACTTTTGCCAAGTCTAACAAGAAAGTTAATGTTTCTTGCTTGCTTTAATTCAAACTCTGACATTCTCATGACCACAGCTCTGATGGCCATCCCAGAAAAAGAATTCTGAAACTGCTTTAACAGGTGGCCTAGGAACTGGTGTCGGTACATAGCTTCCCAAAGGGAGTACCCCAAAGGTGATTGCAGTGATATTCAGCCATGAGGTATGGAGTACTTTTCCAGAATGAGTCCATGCACTTAATTGTCAGACCTCATACATGGGGAAACAAAAAAGCCTGAGCCTTAGATTCACAGGCATTGCCTTTAGGTGAATTAAAATCTAGCATAAAAGCTTAAATTACAAAGCTTCTAGAAGGAAACATTCCCACTCACTAGAAATAGGCCACAGTTTCTTAGAAAGCACTAAACGAAAAGAAAAACTAGATCCACTGTACTGCATTAAAATTTAAAACTGTGGTTCATCAAAGGACATTATTAAGAAAACAAATGGAGAAACCATGAACTAGGAGAAAATATTTGCAATACTTATACATGGCAAAGAATGTGTGTCCAGAATGTGTAAGTGACTCCTCAAGAGAAAGCTTAATTTTAAAAAGGCAAAGATGTGATCAATTCACAAAAGAAAGTGTGTAAGTGGCCGTTAATTATAGGCAAAGTTACTCAACATCATTAGTCACGGAAGAAGACTCTAGTTGGAATCACAAGGAGGTACAGCTTTCCATCCTTGAGAATGACTAAAATTACAAACAACGGCAACATCAAATGGTCGTGACAATGCAGAGAAACTGGAAGACTTTTTTTTTCTTTTATTGCTGGTGGGAGTATAAAATTATACAACAATTTGAATTTCATTTACAGTTTCTTACAACGTCAAACTACACCACCCTTTGACCCAGAAATTCACTCCTATGCATCTCTCCAAAAAGGAATGAAAACATGGGTCGTCAGAAAGACTGACATAAGAATATTCATTCTCTCAAGAGAAAAGCAGATAGACAAAATATGGCACACTCCTATGACCAGAGACAGCTCGGCATCAGACATATGAGCGGCACAACACACGCATGGGGGAATCTCACAAACTGCGCTCAGCCAGAGAAACCAGACCCCAAATGGTGAATTCAGGGCTATTCCTGCGACACACCTTTCAAGCACAGTCCCACGCAAGCCATGAAGACGAGGGACAACTTCACGCAAGGAGGCCAGCAGATTTAACACGAATGGCTTCTGTGGGATAGTATGTTGGGACACAAAGTTTCTTTTGGCCCATTTCTGGTTAATTCTCGGTGCCTTTTCTGACTTGGAAGACACACGGAGATCTGAAACGTGACCCACGCCCTTTAACAATGGCCTCATTCTCCATTACAGTTCAGTAGCGCCAACAATGCTCACGGAACTATTGGCTAAAAATAATTCTCAAGCCACCTCTCAGCATCCAGACTCTTAGAGACTGTAGTTTAAAAGCCTGGGACCCAAGGGCATGAGCACTTCTGTGAACACTTCCACAAGTGAAGGCACTGGTGACACGGGGTGTGCGTGTGCCAATCAAAGGGCACAGCCAGCTGGGCTTGGTGGCTCAGCCTGTCATCCCATGCCTTTGGGAGGCTGAGGTGAGTGGATTGCCTGAGCCCGCGGGTTCGAGACCCGCCTGGGCAGCGAGACCTCATCTCTACAATGAATCGAAAAACAACCGGGCGTGGCGGTGCATGCCTGTAATTCCGGCTACTCGGAAGGCTGAGGCGGAAGGATTGCCGGAGCCCAGCAGGTCGAGGCTGTGGTGGCCGGGAGCGGCCGCTGCACTCCAGTCTGGGCGACAGAGTGAGATTCCAACTCAAAAACAAAAAACAAAAACAACAAAGTGCACGGCTGTGGGAGGTGGTCGATTCCAGGCCACAACCTGCCTGCATCAGGGGCTGGGTCCAAGGCGCAGGTGTGAGACTGACACTCACCGATGATGACGGGCTGCGGCTCGGACTTGACGCCAACCCCGGCGCTGGTGCTGGCTGCGACCTCTATCCGGTATTGAATACCTGGGAACAGGCCACCAATGATGACAGAGCGAATGGCTGCGTCCACGGTCTTGTTGATGTGGAACCGCGTCTCGTTTCCCAGACACCAGATCTGCAGACGTGGGAAGTTCATGACAGATGGACACAGAAGGACACGGTCTCGTGAGGTATTCTAAAAGCAACCAACCTGTGTTCTAGGCTTAAGGAGTTGGTGGTTAATGGCATTTTCTCAAGCCTGCCCTCTGCAGCTAACCCATGCATGTGTGTGTGTGTGCGTGCGCATGTGTGTGTGCGGCTGCTTTCTGTAAGTCAGCTTTTCAAAACGTGCTGCTTCAGTGGCTGTCTCTCTTCAAGTGAAAGGCCTCACAGACCCTCGATGCACAGACAGAAGCAGCGTTTCTGCTCCCTCCATCCCAGAAGCATCTTTTTTTCTGAGGACAGGGTTGAAAAACGTTTGCCCTCATGCCTCTTAATCAGAATTCTCATCACAAAGACACAGGTGTTTCCGAGTGGGGGCTTCACTGCCCACCCTGCCAGTCTCCCTAGACCCCCGAGGTCCTGGCCTGGCAGTCCCCGACCACCACCCGCTGGAGGGCTGCAGTCTCCAGCTGAGCTGAGTGATCTGGGACCTTGTGGCCAGGGGCTGATGCTCCACGCATCTGCGTGTTACCTGTTGCCCCAGGACGTTAAAAGTCATGTGACCCTCCATCTGAGCAGAAGGAACTCTAGGGACGGGCTGCCCCGTGGGACACCGAGGTCCCCCGGGCACCCCACCCCGTCCAGCACCCTCCTCGCACGCGCCCACCTTGTACTCCTGGATCACGCCGTTCTGGTGGTCTGCGGGGGGCGGGTCCCAGGACACACTGATGCTGGTGCTGTTGTGGCTTCCCACCGCCAGCACCGCGACCGACTGCGGAGGGGCGCTTGGGGCTGGGGGACAGAAGAGACGAAAGTGGTGAACACCGTGCTGCTTCCAGGACGGGAGGCAGACGAGACACGGGTGGCCAGGCCTCCGGGAACGCGGACTCTGCTCAGAGCCCACAGTGCCCGCTTTTGAAGACACCCTTCCGACACTACCACAGGGGGCGCAGCCCGGAGGGTGCTCTGGGCAAGGTGGGGCGGCCCTGTGGGATCACATCTTCCCATGCCCTGACCGGGCTGCGCGGGGGCTCTCACACCAGCCCCAGAAGGGGCAGCAGCCCCCAACTCGGGGCCAGGGTGAGGGCACAGGCTTCCCGCGAGAGGCCCGTCCAAGTCAGCAGCCAGACAGGACTTGAACCCGGCCATGCCCACGAGAGGCCTGTCCAAGTCAGCAGCCAGACAGAACTTGAACCCGGACATTCTCTCAGTTCTAACAGGCTGTCTTTCTGAAAGAACAAACGGGCAAACAAACTCTTCTCACCAAAAGTACTCTGAGAGAATATAGCCCAAAATTCTATCAGGTGTCATTTCTGGGTGGTGGCAGTTTTGACAGCCACTTCTGTGTGTGTGGCTTTGGTTTGTGTTTACAAAATAAAGACAAAAACGTAGCCATGGATTTCACTAATGCAGGAAAAACATCCCTTGTATACTGGGAAAAATAATTAACTGCTAAAAATGTGCCCATACTTTAAGCTTTAAAACTTGTTTTGTGTGTTTGGGAAAGGGACTCTGATGAAAAACTGAGGACAGTTCACAGGGGTCAAGTGTGAACTGAGTAGATGGGGATTTCCGGCAAGAATCCTCTCCTTTCTAGTTTTTCCTCAAACTAATTCCAACCATACTGGAACAGACGAGAGAGAGGCAATCTCAACATCAGATGGCGCCTCTCCCAGCCAGGGCATCGAGAGCTAAGAAGTACACATCTTGCGGAAAAACTCGTCTATTCTCAGGGAGTCTCTGGCTTAAAACCAAAGGCAGGAAACACAACACCAGAGCCCTGCATAAAATCCTTCTTGACAGTTAAGAAAAGTCTAAGAGTTTTATGGTAGGGAAGGGTTTTTACATAATACTGTAAATGTTCTCACATGAGGGGCGACACCCCAAAACCTGGAATTTATTGATAAAAATTGTGTGTTTATTCTTACATGTTTGAACTTCAGTCCCCTTCAAAGTCCACTTTGTTGGATGCAATACAGCTATTGAGATGCTTTTTCCACTGCTCAAAACAGTTTTTTACTCGTCAGTTTTGATGCCTTTTAGTGCTTCTGCTGTTTTTTGGTTCACCTCTTTCACACTGTCAAAATGTTTCCCTTTGAGTACTTATTTCATTGGGGAAACAAAAAAAAAAATGGCTTGGGGCGAGATCAGATGAAGAGGGAAGGCGAGTCCTGGGGGCCACGACGTGCTTGGTGGAAACTGCTGAATGCTCAATGCACTGTGGGCAGGTGTGCCCGTAAATCACCCATCATGCAATGGGCAAGTGTGCAGAGAGAATCTCCAAGAAATAAAAACTTTAAAAAATGCACTGAAGCCAAACGTAGCAGTTCACAACAACGCTAGCTGGCACCTGGATGCCCGTGGACTCCGAGAAGCCACGCCTGGTGGGGGAAGCCTGGCACCACAAGGGCCCACCTTCCAGAAGGTCATTCTGGGCTTTGGGGTCCCTTTCACGTATCTGCACAATTAGTTCTTTGGAAACGCCCTCAACATCCGAAAAGCTATTTTATGAGTCTGTTGCCAACCTCACCTGCTTGGTAAATGTGTCACGACACATCCCAGCACACTGGGCCTTCGTGGCCACGAGATCTGGGAGACACAGACAGACGTGAGCTCCCATGGCCCGGCTCATGTGACAACCTTGCTCCAGAATGTGGCACGTGGCATAAACCCACCCCCTCGCCTACCTGCCGTAGGCTTCTCGAGGAGACCTCATGGAAAATAACACCTTGGGGGCTGGTTCCTTATCCCCCCCCCCTGCCACTGGCCTGTAGCCTCCCGGTCACCACCTGATGGGATGATGGTCCTGGGCCGGCTACTTTCTGCAGGTGTGAGAGAGCCCAGAGCTTCAACACACTCCCAGACAGTCCTGTGGAGGGCCACGTGCCATCTCCACACAGCTGCAGACCTCGGGGACGAATGTATGCTGAATTTTGACACACGTCTCACCCGGAGAAAGAGCCTAGCTCGTGAGACTGATTTTGGAAGTGGGCTTCACATAGCGCAGGCTGCAGTGAAGTCCCCTCTCCACCTGAGAGTAAACTGAACAACACATGAAGATGCCGTTATTATCATCACCGTTATCATAAACACCTTCAAGCAAGGGGAAGCGACACTCTTATGAACTTTCAGAAATTGTTTCTTTACGTATCCTGAAAGTAGATTAACAATGCCCTTAAAAGCATGCACTCTGCCCCAACCAGGATAGCACCTGCAAACCAGAGGAAAGATGCCATCTCGCTGTGTTGTAAGACAAGAAACGTATCATTCAAAAGCTCTTTGGTTAAACGTAAATACATACACGTTAGTGTGTGCAACCTATAGATACATGTCCTTAAGGTTGCCCTTATTGTGTATGAAAAAGGCTTTTTTGGCCAGGTGTGGTGGCTCAAACCTATAATCCTAGCACTTTGGGAGGCCAAGGCAAGAGGACTGCCTGAGCTTAGGGGTTCCAGACCAGCCTAGGCAACTTGATGAAACCTCGTCGCCATGATGAATTTTTAAAAATAAGCTGGGCATGGTAGCGCTTGCCTGTAGTTCCAGCTACTTGGAAGGCTGAAGTGGAAGGATTGCAAGAACCCAGCAAGTCGATGCTGGGGTGGCTGTGAGTGTGCCACTGCACTCTGGCCTGGGCGACAGAGGGAGATTCCAACTCAGAAAGAAAAAAAAAAGAAAAGAGATGAGAAAGGCTTTTGACACCAGTGGTGCGCACACAATTGGCACAAGGGCAGATGGGGGTCTCTTATTTGGCATCTCACTTTTTTGACTTTGCTAGCAACATTTGTCATCAGCCTCCTGTTTAGTGAGGGAGACCCTCGCAGACGGACTGTGGAAACCCACATTAATCTCGCGTCCATCACAAACTGACTTTGGAACATCCATCGGCAAGCCAGGATCCAAAGCAGGGGAGAGGGGAACTTCGCGAACGAGGAATCCCCTGCAGATTGCCAGTGGCCTCCCTAGTGGAAGTCCTAGGCCAGAGTGGCAGTGCCCCCAGGGGAAAGAGGCACGTGAAATAACACGCCACACGCCGGAAAAAGCGTGGGCATGTGAACAGCCTGGCTCTTGGCACTCCCGAAGTCTGTGTTTTAATGAAGCCAAATGAGCTAAACCCACATAAAAATATGGGAATACAGCATAATCCCATCCAAGTGAACTGAAAAACATACGACTTGGAGCAAATGTTTACTTGAGAGAAATTCAAATTTTGCCGGTGTCATTGTTTTCTCCCTGTCAGATTTATGGAGTTCTCAAAATAGAAGGAGAACGTGGCGCTTCCTGGCTTCCCTTTCAGATGGTCTCTTTTTACACTTCTAGGGAGGATGGCACACGGAACTGCAAAGGCAATGGTCTCTGTCTGTGAGAAACCCGAATACTGACCTTCCTCGGCCGTGCGAACTGTTTTGGACTCGCTGTCCATTCCTTGGAACTCATTAAAGTAGGGGCGGACCTTGATCTCGTAAGCCACGCCCTTCTTCAGGTTGGCCAGGACAGCACTGCGCTCTGTGGGGACTTTGGCATCCAGGTTCTGCCACGCAGATGTGGCCTGCAGGCCCGACGTCTGGCGGTACATGACCCGGTAGCCCTGGATGAACTGAGGCTGGCGGTCCACCTGGAAGACACAGCGCGACGCTTGACCCGGAAGGGCGGCATGCGGACGCCGTAGGCACACCCCTCCTGTCCCGTCCCTGCCCTCGCGGCCACCCATGACGCTTGACACGAAGGCACCTCCCTCCTGTCCATGCCTGTCCTCGCGGCCACCCTCGGGTGCTTCCAGGACTCCACTCGTCCTTTTGCTTCTAGTCACTTCCCCTTAGAGTTTGCACTGCTCCTCAGACGGTTTTTACAAGGAAGAGTGACCCACTCTGGCCTGTCTGAAACACCTCCCAGTAGGTAAGACGCCTACATGATGGAGCCAGATGCCTGGAAAAGCCCAAGGCCCAGGCCCTCCTGTGTCCAGCTGGGCGTCTCACCAGCCCCAACTCTCAGCACTCCGGACGGGCTCTGCTGAGCACGCCTCTGGGGGCATCTCCAGGCTCATCTGCCGCCCGCTCCCTGATGCCTCACTCTCTCCAGACTCCCTGCCCAGGTCCTGACTCACAGGAGGAAGGGATTCTGCCAAGCCCTAGGACACATGGGCATGGGTGGAGTCAGCCCTGCCTGGTGACGTGGTGGTCCAGGGGGAAGCAGGTATCACCCAGCGTCTCTAGACCACTGGGGAGTCTCGCTCCTGACAAATGGAAAAACCCTCATGCAGGAGGCGCCTGGGACCAGGAGAGCCAGGAGACAAGGCACCCGGGGAAGGGGGCGCAGGGGCTTGGGCCTGCGGAGGAGGCTGGGCCCAGGGAGAGGGGCCGGCCGCTCTGCTCAAAGCCCCGCACAGAGAAGGAGACAGACGGCCGCTGGGGCTGCAGGTCAACCGTGAGTCGCGTGGAAGAGGAAGTCCTGGAAACCTGCACTTGCCCGCCCACTTCTGACTCCCTGGGACAACTGTTGGACCCTTTCACTTCCGTAATGTCCATGGGGGAGCAGCTGCTTCTAAAGACAAGCTGAAGTTTTGAATCTGATAACTCGCCTCATTAGAACTTTTAAAAAGTGTTTTTGTTCACTCTCCATAATTACATAAACTCAAATATGTGTATGTGCGAGATAAGAAAAGAAACACGTTCTTCTCTTCATACGTTTATTAAATAGTCTTTACTAGGTTTTTATGCTTGTTTTGTCTTCAGGGAGAAAAGGATTTGTGACTTTACAGTTTTTTGTGTGTTTTTTTGTAAATTAAACAGATTTAAATGGTTCATCATGTTTCTAGAAATGCTTGATTTAAACATAAAATTGTTCAGGACTTCTCCAACTAATATCCCATATAATAGCTTATAGTCATATTATAAGAAGCCTTAAACGTGACATATTTCACTGTCAAATAGAGTGTAAAGATTCATGGAAAAGAAATGGAATAGTCTCATTTCAGGAAGGTTGTGAGGAAAAAGGAAAGAGAAAAGTTGATAGTAGAGATGGTTATTTATTCCTTTAATACATTTCTTTAGCCAATTGTCAGCATGTTATCAACAAAAGGCATCGTTTCATGTAGAAACTTCTAACATTTCTGCTCCAGCTGCTGTACTGTTTTATGGATTTTTAGGTAAAGGCAGCAAATGAATGACTGGTAGCTAAAAGTACTGGCTCCACGAAGTCAAAAATGCAGAGTTTCAATACAAATACAGGGGAAAAAAAACCATACGTTCTGTGTTTAGAATGTTCACACTGGAAAGCTCCATGGATTTGGTGGTCTGAGTGTGGACGGAATGAACTAATTCCAGGTCCCCAGACAAGTCTCGGCAACCTCACATCCCTTTGCCCAACCAGTTTTCCAGCCTCCACGGAGCTTCTGGAACCGGCGCTATACTGGTGTGAAGTTGTGTGAAGTCGAGGTGAGTCCAGCTCGACGCGGACTGACATGGACATTCATGGTCTCCGAGGCCTCAGCCGTGCTACTAGGCATGACTGGACCACCTGAAACATTTCTTAAAAAGCAGGAGTTGTTCTGACGTCATAAAACACAGCCGCCAAGAAGTTAAAAAAAAATAAATTCATGAGCGCCCAAGAGAGAGGCCTTTCATCCAAACTGTCAGTGTTCGAAAACTCCTTGCAGCATATGTTAAAACAACATTAAGCTTGCATTTTATAAACTTCTCTGCGTTTGCTTTAAGTGAATTTATATACTGAAAGAAAGACATAACTCACAATAATAGCTTGTTAATACTGAAAGAAGCAAGCTGTGTTTTTAAGAAGAACATTAAGCAGCTGTTTCCAGATGAAGGGAGTCTGTAAATCAGGGCAAATTGGTTTTACCCATGTTTGGTTTTCATTAATTAAGTGTTGTAGGGACTTCAGATGCTCGTGTTCACTGCACAGCATCGCCTCGCACACTTCAGGGTATGTGGCACAAAGCGAGGGCCCTCTCAGGGCCAGATCGCTTGGCTCGACTTTGTGCAGTTGCAAAGCATGTTTCTCAGAAGGACATCCATTGCTACAGGTGGAGGCAAGGATGGAAATGCTGAACGTTCCCTTAAAAGCAGGTGGGACGTTCCAGGACACGTGCTTCCCACCCTCACTTGGGAGCCTTTTCCTGGACACATGTTCTGCGATCTCACCGTGGGCTCATTCTGACACAGGGCCATTTTCCAGGGAAGCGCTATGCTTGTCCTGAGTCCTGTCACCCTTCTGATGATAAGAAGAAGGATTTCCCTGCTGAGTTAACCACCATCAGAGTCTGGCCACAAATCCATGGGCTTATATACTTTAAGAAATGAATCTTTCCTGAATCTTGAGTGAAAAAGAGTTGTCTTGAGGAAAAAGTGAGAGGAGAATGAAAAACCTTGGGCTCCAAGTCCTGGGTCTCAGGCTGAATTGTGGTCAGCCTCCTTAACGGCCTGAGCTTCAGTCTCAGTTTGCTTCATAATGCCTGCATCTCAAGGGCACAGGATCATTCAAAGGACCAAGACACGTCGGAGCACCCTGCAAGCTCTGGATGTGTGCAGTGGAGAGGCAGCGTCTGAAGGAGGGGACAGGCTGAAACGTGGCCTCCAGCCCACTGCCATAAGATGCTGAGGCAACATGCTGCTGCCTATCTTTTCAGTTACAAAACTCCATCGATGCTGAAATTCAAAGCAAATTTTCTTTGGGGGGCTTAGCTGCTAAGGGGCCGTCTCATCTCTCGGAAAGTGATAGTTAAGGAACAAAGGGTATGTCATTCTTTTTGTCCTTGAACAAAAGAAAACCAAAAAAAAAAAAAAAAAAAAAAAAACCACTGGAATAATAATCATTCCTCTGTAGGTGACTTCCTGCTATTTTCCTTTGTGGAAGAGCAATTCTGTCTACCCTCGACGTAAGAACAGTTGTTTCAGAAAGCAGCCGTGGCTCACAATTGTGGCTTCAAGTTTAGCCCAGGACATGGGGCGGCGGGTAGACATTGGCACCACTGGCTACGAATCCAGTCCACCACTGGCGACCTACCGTCTTTAGCCGTCCCCAAACCTAAGCACGTAGGTTGGGAAGACTGTTCTCCCCTCAAACCTCAGCACAGCTGTAACGCAAATCCTCACAGTGAGGTCATTTAAACAACATGTGCATTTAGCAAATGGAAAATGTCACACGGAAACAAAATAGTGACAATTTGTTTGGCGACTGGCCCCATTCCGAGCTTGACTTTATTTCACAAAATGTGCCTCTCTCAAAGACATGCTTATGTCACGTGCTGCTACAAACTCACAGGGAACAACGTGCTGTGATAGCAATGGGATGTCTTCTCGAAAGGAAATGAAAAGTGGATGGAGACAGCTGACTCCAGCACTCAACAGACAGTTACTCAAAGGTCCCTTCGGAGGAGACACTGATCTGGAAGGCAGGAATGGAAGAAACGCATCCCAGACTCACAGAGTCACAGCCCACGCAGGAGGTCGACATGCACACGAGATGTGACCAGCTTCCTGGGACGCAGCAGTGAGGATGACCAGGTCTCTCTCTTGGAAAAACTTCCTGTCTACTGGCAGGCAGTGTCTCTCTGATTTGATTTACTCTTTTGAACTCAGTGCCTTTGAAAGTGTTTAGCTGCACCGACATAATGACTTTGATTCTACCCAAATAATTCCCATGTTGAGAAGCAGCTTAAAAGAAGTCCCCTCGGCCAGGCTCGGTGGCTCAGCCTGTCATCCCAGCACTTTGGGAGGCCAAGGCGAGTGGATGGCCTGGGCCCACAGCTGCGAGACCAGCCCGGGCAACTTGGAGAGACCTCGTCTCTTCAATAAATAAAAAGTTAGTCAGGCGTGGTTGCACGTGCCTGTAGTTCTGTGGTTCTGGCTACTTGGAAGGCCGAGGCAGAAGGATCGTGGGAGCCTGGTAGGTCAGCACTGGGGTGGCTGTGAGCATGCCACTGCACTCTAGACTGGGCGACAGAGTGAGACTCCAATTCAAAAATAAAACAACAATTTAAAAAAAGCCCCAGTTGAAACTTCCAACAGATCAAACTTTTTTTCAATTGAGAATGAGGAAAAATCTGATCTGAACAATACGACTATTTCTTTGAACTTTTTAGTTAGTATCTAGTCACAGCTACCGCGAGACAGATGACTTGGCAGATAACACAACTAAAGGTGCCGCTGGAGAAAGGATGCAGCAATGATGTTCCCCTTATGGGGACAGAAGAGGAGCCATCATACACAGAAAACAGAAAAGACTTTGCAAAATTATATCAGAAATTGAATTAGACACACTGCAATACTAGTCATCATAATTAATCTTAAAACATTATAGACTTAGTCTTATTTTTATTAAAGTATTGCCCAATTTTTCCTCATAAACTAAACATTTGACTGACTATGCACTCAAGCAGGATCATCATCCAAACGTTGCCATTGGAAAGCTGCTCCTTTTGGCTGGATGTGTATCCCTGAAGTGGAAAACAACAACAAGGAAAGCAGATTTGGAGTCAGGAAACTTGATTCCTGTCTTTAGCCTTAAATAGACTTGGGAGATTGGGAACACTATCCAACCTGTCTGTACCGGCTTCCTTTGCTAAGAATGTGTGGAGGTGGGCAAAAGAGCCTCGCGTGAGACTTGCGACTCCATGGTCTGAGCCAGCCACACCCCTACGTAGACACAGGTGAGAAGGGGTCCTTCTGGGACTAGCCGGCAGGTCTCCACGTGGGCTGGGACATCCATGCACGGGGGGCGTGTGTGCGCCCGCCACCACACCCAGCCCTGGGCACCCTCACAGGGATCCCCCAAACCTCTCCCAGCTAGACCCGTGTCTCTGTATGGAGTACCCCCGCCACCACATCCACAGAACACGGCAGGAGCCCACAAACGTTCATAAGAGGGAGCCGTTCCATGAAATTATTACTGAGAAGACACCGAAATTGTTTCTTCATTGATTCATTCTTCAGACACAGCTACTCAAGGGCTTGGAAAAACCAATCTGTTTTCTTTCACAAACTCTTTTCTTCTGTTAAAGGAGTTGGTTGAAATGGGTGAGATAGTTGCAACCACGGAACTAAGCACCCTGGACTCCTGGGGGGAAATGAACCGGCGAACAGTCCGCCCTCATTTATGACAGCCAAATAACAACAATCATAGAGACACAACTATAAACACATTCCAAATGAACACTCTTTCAGTTAAAGTGGAAATCCATTCAGCTCCTCTGGACACCATGTCTGTCCCCGACCCGTGTTCTTCCATGTGCACAGAAGCCACCAGCAGACACCCGCTTCTGTCATTCCAACACATCTCTTGGCGGATTTTTAGAGGGTGTATTGGACAGCACTTGCATCTAGCTGAGAAGTTTGCGCTGTCTCTCTCAGGCCCAGAGAAGAACATCACCAGCTCCTCTCAAGACACGTGCACACACACACACAAACACACACTCACACAAGTGTTCGTATTCTCCAATATGACTAATATCACAATTTCATGCTACTTCTTATTTCCACTGCAGTGGCTACCATTTGATCAAAGCATTTTGCACTTCGAAAGTGTTGTGGATATTCTGACACATTTTATTTTTTATTTTTATTTTTTTTTGAGCTGGAGTCTCACTCTGTTACCCAGACTGGAGTGCAATGGCCACTCCCGGCCACCGCAGCCTCGACCTGCTGGGCTCCGGCGATCCTTCTGCCTCAGCCTTCCAAGGAGCTGGAACTACACGTGTGCTACCATGCCCGGCTCATTTTGATTTATTGTAGAGATGAGGTCTCATCAAGTTACCCAGGCAGGTCTCGAACCCGCGGGCTCAGGCAATCCACCCACCTCAGCCTCCCAAATTATCAATGTATTTCCAGGCCAGGCATGGTGGCTCAAGCCTGTAATCCCAGAATTTTGGGTGGCCGAAGTGAGAGTATTGCCTGAGCCCGGGGGTTTGAGACCAGCCTGGGCCACCTGGTGAGACCTTGTCTCTACAATAAATAAAAAATTAGCCAGGTGTGGTAGCTTGTGACTTTAGTTCTGGCTACTTGGAGGGCTGAGGTGGAAGGATTACTCGAGCCCAGCAGGTCGATACTGGGGTGGCTGTGAGCATGCCACTGCACTCCAGCCTGGGCAACAGAGTGAGACTCTGACTCAAAAAAAAAAAATCAATGTATCTCTTAACACTCAGTAGTTTTTGGACTACACATGTCAAATTGTCAGAATTCCATATGTGTTTTTGTGCTGCCGCATGAGATTCAGCCGAAAGAACGTAACGATGAGTGAGTGGAATTCAGAAGAAAACTTCACCAAACACCAAAGTATTTTGTGCTCAAATGGCATCATCAAAAAAGTAAACGCAACACTCTGTGCTTCAGATGGCATCATCAAAAAGAGCAAACACAACCCAAAGACGGGGGGAAAAAACATTTGCAAATCATATGTCTGAGAGGGACTTGTATCTAGACTATATCGAGAACCTCTACAAGTCGGTAATAAAAAGGCAAATAATCCAATTTAAAAATGGACAAAGAGGCAGGGTATGGTAACTCACACCTGGAGTCTGTAATCCCAGCACTTTGGGAGGCTGAGGCAGGACAAGCACTGAGGCCAGGATTTCAAGACCAGCCTGGGCAACGTAGCCAGCAAGACTACGTATCAACAACAGCAACAACAACACATACATACATAAAAATGGAGAGAAAACTTGAATAGGCTTTTCTGCAAAGAAGATATACAAATATCCAAGAAGCACATGAAAATGAACACAACTAGTTATTAAAGAAACGCAGATCAAAACCACAACATTATACCACTACACAGCCACCAGAAAGACTATAACTCTAAAGATAATAATAAGCACTGGCAAGGATTTGAGAAAAATTGGCAAGTGTTTGGGAGAAGCAGAACACTGAAACATTGCTCGTGAGGATAAAAAATGGTACAACCACTTTGGAAAACACTTTGGCAGTTCATCAGAATGTTAGATGGAGAGTTGCCAAAATGACTCAATGATTTCTAGGCGTGTACCAAGAGAAATAAAAACATATGTCCACACAAAGACTTGTACACAAATGTTCATGCAGCGCTCGTCATAATCGCCCAAAGTGGAAACCACCCCCAAATCCATCAGCACATGAAGGATAAACAGAAAGAGACAGTGCTACAATGGCTATTCTTATATTCAGCAACAATAAGGAATAAACAAAGTACTGACACCAACACAACATGGATGAACCCAGAACCATCACGCAGGGTGAAAGACCAGGTGCAGAAGACCATATACCACATGACTCCCATGAAAGGTCTAAGCAGGACTAGAGGTCACAAGGAGCTGAGACAAGGGAGGAGGCGGTGTCTGCTAACGGATGCAGGGCTTCATTTGGGGGAGATGGAATGTTCTAACATTAGATTTTGGTGATGATTTCAAGACTCTCTATACTAAAAAACACGTGGCTATGCACTTTATGGTACGTTGACTATATCTCAACAAAGTTGGTAGAAGATGCAAAAGAAAGAACATGCCACGTTTCTATCACAATCACTCTATTCTTACTCCATTCACTTTTGAATTTCCTGAATATGTTTATTGTCATTGATGACACTTTGATTTAAAAAGTGGTGAGGGTTTTATTACTATTTTTGGTTTAGCTGTGTTTTCCATTTTTGTCTTCCTGAAAGGAGAGATCCCCATCCACGGTGCCTTTGAAAGCTTACCGTCCACGTGACCTGGACAGTGGTGGGCGTCAACACCACTGGAGTATGGAGACGAACAAGGACGTCCCCTAGTTCCTTTTGCACTTGTCTGTGGTCCACTCCTTGTGCTGGCGGGCTGATATCTGCAGTTAGAGAAGGCAGTCACTCCCCATGTTGAAAATCCACAGTCAAACTCCAGTTTATTTTACAGAAGCCAATATCATGTCATTAGAACTAAGGGCAGGGACAAAACTAAAACCTTTCATGGCAAAGCATGTAAGCCTCTCTAGAAATACCAGAGTGGTGGGACATAATTGGAGAGATGATATTTATCCTCACTAGAAATATGTTAACAGAAGCGTATTTCCAACCCCTCAGCCCCATTCAAATACAGACACATTGTTGTGTGCGGGTATTTCTTTCCTTAGGAAGGGGCAGAGTGTGTGCTCCAAGACTTCTCTAGAAAGACCAGCTTCCTAGAGACGCTGGTGTATGGAAGGAATTTCTGGGTCGCTACCGGTCCCAAGAGCAATCGTGTGTCCTTACTCTTGGGCCTGCTTCGGCCTGGGGCATGGAGTGGGGGAAATGTGGTGGGGTGGGTGGGGGGAAGTGAGCTGTGTCATTAAAGGGAAACAGTAGGGGAGCGAGAGGAAGGAGCTCCTCAGATCCCCAAACACTCTTCTGACAGAAACCCTGAGAATGCTGATAACACGCAGCAGTGAATGCCCAGCTGCTGTTAGGAGTGTGGGGGAGGGAGGGAAGAAGGCCCCGCCGCATAAGATCGAACCCCCTCAGTCAGCCTGCTCCGCCTCCGTGTTCACTGGTCACCCCAGATGGCTCTACTGTCCCTAAAATGGCTCACAGTCCATGTCCAGTAAGAAAAAAAGCTACACTAGAGACAGCTAGGTCTAGCCACTTGATATCAAACACAGACTCTCACACATATTCAAATCCACTCTCTTAACCTGTGCTCTTCAATGTTGAGTTTCTTCTTCAACAACTTTATTTAAGGAAGGAAATTCAATTTAAAATGATTTACTTTCTTAATCTTGTTTTTTTTTTTCCCCCTGTTTTCCCAGGCTACAATGCAGCACTCTTGCAGTATTTTTAAGTGCACATCTCAGCTGTAATTTTAGTTGGGTATACTCACTTAAATTGGGGCATAAATAATCAGAAACCATACTCTGGCAAATTTGTTCCCTGGGTCCACTTGGTCTTAGTTCTTAACATGGACACCAAAGTGAAATTTTACTGGATGTGAACCACATTAACTTTTGCCGATATGTGAGTTGTCGGTTTTGATGTGGATCGTGCGAGTATTTACAGTACTGGCACAATAAGTAGACTTAGGTGTGGACACCTTTGAAAAAGAAGAGCTCGCAAAGCAAAGTGCTCCTTGAAAAGACGGCCTGACAGAACGCAGAGCCGCTGCAAGAAGTGTGGTACAAGAGTGGTGGCAATGACCCTGACACTCAGACACAGAGCAGGAGTTTCCTGACCAAGGTCTGTTAAGAGAACACGAGTCTTCTGCTCCGTCTAGTCTTTCTGCTGGAACAAGCCCAGACCCAACAACTTTACATTCACCTTTTGGGACCTTTTCACCACGAGTTGTTTTATGAGCCAGGCCGTAGAGATTGGTATGGTTGCCCAACGATCAGGAAAGTCTGCCCGAGTCTATACAGGTGTGCAAGGTCTGGGTACGAGCATTTCTTGACTGAAAATGGTATACATCTTCCATTTCAAGTTCAATAATTTAATTTACTCATTAAGTTCAGCCACTCTGAAAGCAGCTGCGTCTAGGTAGGGCCGCCTCTAACTAGTTTCAGAGCCTCAAATTCCTTGTTGTGCCTTTTCTTTCTCTCGAGACAAGTTCTTTACCTACAGGCCTTTTATCATCGTGGAATATTAATCACATGACTGTGCAGAGAACAATAGCACAGTGGCATCCCTCCTCCCCAGACTGTCATCATGTCAGCCACGCTCCCGAGTCACGGGGAGGCTTTATTGCATGCGACTTGTTTAAGGCGCCCTTCTCTGTTACAATAGCCTGCTTGCTACTACACTGAGCTACGTGGTAATTATAATCATATTTTATGGCTGCATGCTGCTTTTCACGGCATCAAAATACGAACGTGAATTATATCTTGTTCAAAGCCTCTTACGAGCAAGAAGCAATTAACCCTTCCTGAAGCACCCTGCGGCAAGTAGGTTCCAACACGTAACAAAGCTGCATCTCCATGGTGTTGCTCCTTTCACTGACCACGGGGAAGGGAAACTGCGAGGTAGCCTCGCGTGCCCAGTCCGGTGCAGACTCCAGCCAAACCTCCATCGGAAGAGATGGGTTTCTTGGAATGAAATGATGCCGCTTCTGTTTGGAAATTATATCTTACTATCTGGGCGTTTGCCATGTGAGTCCTGCTTCTGTAATACATGACTCCTTGAGACGTCTGACTTAATAAAACACCCCGGGCAGTAGTTGTAAAGCGCACACATCGCATCACCAGGCGGGGTCATTAAGACAGACACCACTTGGTCCCAGAGCTCTGGACCTGAAGCCTGAAAACCCGTGTTTCTACCTGGTCCAGGTGATGCCAGTGCTGCCCCTCGGGGCCCATGCTGAGAGCCACCATCACAAGGGCAGAATCCTGAAGCACTGGAAACAATTGTGATACCCCTATTTGGACATCCATGCATGAGGGACCACTTTCCTGCTGATGTATAATGATTTCAAAGACGGAGAAACATTTTCCTCCCTTGGAAATATAGCGATGCCCTAATTGGCGGGTACCCTTGACTACCTAGATGTGCCCATTATCTCATCCATGTCCACTGTCTAGACCCTGAGAGCTCTGGAAAGAGGACACAATTCACCAGGGTGGACAGCAAGCTCCCTCCTCCTTCCCCGGAGAAAGCCTAGGGAGGCACCATGAAAAAGCAGACACGGGAGCATGTCCTCCCGCAGCCCCTCAGATGTGGGTGCGTCCGGGGCTTCATTCTGGACCAGGTGAGCCCACAGCTATGGGAATTACCTTGGGTGCGCACAGGGTCCGACATGGGGCTGGGGTCGCTGAGCCCCTGGGGGTTGATGGCTCTGACCATGAACAGGTAGACGGTGTTGGGCCTCAGGGCCCTCACGGTGTAGAGGGTGGTCTTCACGTGGTTGGCCACCGTCTGCCAGCTGTTGCTCACCGATTGGCTGAAATGCAAAGCGACACAGCGTTTAGAGAACGGCCGTGCGGGCACCGAGGATAATGGCGTTGGGGAGCGATGACCAAGGTTAATGGCTGGAAACTGAACACACACGCACACAGCACTGGAGGTGTTCAGCCCGAGAAATGAAACGCTGGATGGTTTCCGTTTATTCCAAACAAAGCGGAGCCCCCTGACAAGAGTGCCATGCACAACAAAACTCAGCTCAGCCCAGGAGATGGGGCAGCCCTTGCTAGCGCACAGCAGCCACGACATGAACCCTGTAAAGGAACAGAGGCGAGGATCACAACACCAAGTCTATACAGCAAGGATGGTCCTTGTGAATGCATGTGCATATGTACCTTGGAAAGAATTAACCTGCAGAAAGAACACAATGGCTACAGAGTAAGCTATGCCAACACACTGTGCTGCTACAAGGTGTGTTTTCTTTTGCATCAATTCCACATGCAATATTCTAACAGAGCCTTCTAAAGCTACATATCTGTAAGAGAAGAAAGGAAGTATGTCATGAGTATTGTCCCGGCCACATTTTCCATAAAACCGTACATCACACAGCGCTGTGACTTCTCATCTCAAAACGGGGCTAGCTCTGAATCCAGCCCTCTCATGCCTGGCACAGACGGATGCCAGGCAGTGGCGCCTTGCTTAAGGTCAGATGCCGTTTTTGTTCAGCGTAAGGAAAAAACTGTGGTTTTCAGGGCAGTCTGTTTGCTTTTCAGACATCCCTCAGTATCAAAACATAAAAACTATAGAAAAATGCCATTTTGAAATTTGAAAGCTAAGTATCTATCATTACCTTAAATGTAGACTAGAGAAGCTAAATAGACAGTGATCGTGTGTCCTAATGTTTACAAAAAAGCAGTGGATATCCTTTACAATTTATGATGTCAAATGGAAGCACAATGGAAAGGGAAATAGGAAAGGTTTTCTCATTTGTATAAGTCGTCTACCAAATTCTCATGGAATCTAATGATATTTACTAATTTATCATCTGTATCTTGAAATGGACAATAATGACCTCCAACAACACAAGGAGACATCTTTTCCATTCCGCAACTGGAAGCATATGGAGTAACTCTTTTAATTGCTGTTTTTTATTTTATCTCAGGCACAGCCAATAGAGTTACTCAAATATCTGGCATAAAAAACAATGGAGTTCTTCTAAGTTCTGCTCTAGTTATTAGGAATAAAGATGCCAGAGTCCCATGTCTCAATACATGTTGCATAACTTTAAAAAGTGCCTGCACCCAATTAAATTATTTTCTGCCTGAGTCTAATGCTCAAATTCTCATCTCAAATCCCGACCATGATCTGAATAAGTAAAAGAGCTAAGTGATTATATTATGAACTAGATCCCTGAAGACCTAGGCATGGAAAATGCACGTTTAATCTTACAATTCAGCCATACATTTAAAAAGTAACGTTTGTTCCTGAATAAAGTCAGGAAAGATTGACTCGTAAAATGCACTGATTGACTACGTCCTTACAATTAAGCAGCAGAATAGCTAGGTGAAATTTCAGAATATAGGAGCTAAAGCAAAAACCCAAGGGAGAAAGAAGGAAGTGTCCCATACCTGAAGGCCTCAATGATATATGCACTTGCTGGAAGCGTTCCAGGGGTACCTGGTTGCCAGGACAAGGTGACACTGTTCTTAGTAACATCAGTGACCTGCGGCTTGGATGGTGGCCCTGGCAGGTCGTTTAAATCATAATTTTTACTGATCGTTGCTCCAGATTCTAAGAGGACAGACAGAAAAAACTTCATTCCTGATTGCGAAGCTGATGAGAATGCTTAAAAGAAGGAGGTAGTCTCCAAAAGGAGCTCAGCTAGACAGTGGGTATCATGCCCACAAGTCAGAGAGTCACAAGTGGACGCCTGCTTCTCCTACAGTTAGTATGTGAAAGCATTGCTTTCGCACGCGTGCACATCACGGGAAATAAACAGCAAGGTCCTCAAGGATGGATGGATTAATTCCACAAATGCAATGCTATGTGCAAACTCGTGCATGAATTAAAGCAGCATTGACTGTGCAGACTTGATTTCCATGCGATGAATTAAAAACCTTGATCCCTCCTTAACTTATTATTTGATGCTGCACTATTGCCAAAAGGGGCTCAGGATTTCTGCTTTGGGACAATTCTCACAGAACACACCTGTCACATCCAGCACTGCACTCCAGGAGGTCTCCCCACTGGAACTCGTGGCCACACAGGTATAGGTGCCGGTATCCGAGGGCTGGAGGAAGGGAGAGAATGACACGGTTTTAACCCACTTGCAGAACAAGCACTCAGTGTCGACCAGGTAGTATTTAATTTCTCAAAATGATGTGCATCATTTGGCTGTCTAAATTACATGTCAGAACCCATCATATGCACATAGAAAATATTAAAATAAACTCATATGTTATTTGCAGCATTCATGCATAGGATTTTAAAAGTTACGTTTCTACAAATGTTATTTGTCTGATGGAGTTGACTCTACTGGAGCCTCTTCCTTTTCTGCCCCATTGTAACAATCTGACCCCTTGACTTCATGTTATGGTGGGGTTTTGCTCTACCGGAGTCAAATACAGACAACCCACGACCGTGTGCTCAGAATCCCATCAACTTTCTGAGACTCAGCAATGTGATGCTCTCCTTTCTGCTGCAGATAAACTACGTTTTAATGAATGAAATGTACTCGAGAGTAAAAAAGCAATAAGACACTAGAAGGCCACACTTCCTCTCCTTTGAAAGGCACGAAGAGAGTGAAGAACACAAAACTGTGTTGTGTTTACTTTTCCTTTCTCGATTTTAGAATCACGGGGTGCATGTGAGGATCTGCCGTGTGAGCCTACTGCATGATAGTGAAGCTTGGACTTCTGACAAGCAACCCCTCAGTAGTGAGCTTGGTACTCAGGGGGTGGTTTTGTATCTCCTATCCCCCCCCCTTTAAAAAAGGAAAAAATAGATAGTTCCCTTTAAAAGGTTCAGTATTCACTTATTTGCAAGCTCCAGCAGCGGAACGGTGAATAAGGTTTCATCAAAAGACAGAGGAACCACTCATGGAGTCACTGCCATTTCCAGCAGAAAGGGACCGTAAAAGTCATCTCACACATAACTTTTTAAAGCATACGTAAAAACGGCCCTTCCATTGGATGCTCAAAGTGTTTTGCTATTCGTTGAAGAGTGGCATAAGACTTTGAGGAAGCGTTGGTACTATAATCAAGAGTTCTCTTTTACAAATGTAAAAGGTCGAAGATTGTGTGATGAGACCTTGAAAAAGCCCCAAGATCCACAAAAGAGGCGACTCAAATATCGTCTCTGGGGTGGGAGTCTGTGACCACACGGCAGACATTCGTTTGCTTAGTGTGGGGGGGAAGGAAGCCTGACATTGGGAAGAGAAACTGATGCCCAGACAAATGAAGACGCGACAGAAGGCATAGACTTAAAATTCTGGGACGACCTTGAATGTAGCTGTTGATGACTCGTGAGAGTTTGTGGACGATGATATCCGCTGGGATCAAAAAGTAAGCGTGTTGACAATCAGGCGTTCATAAGCCATCTTCAGGTAGATCATGAATGTACAGATGGCACTGCCACTCTGCCGTCTTAATTGATTTCAAATGCCATTATGCATCTTAACTGAAGTTTCAAATTGCCCTGGCCTGCCATTCTCTACATCTTATCTCTGTACACTTGTCTTCCATGGTGCAAAGGCACGAGGGGGCTGGCCACTCTGGAAAGAGCCGTTTTCTGCCACGTGGCTGTGCATACATTAAAATCATTAGAAACCTTTGCGTTTAAGACACATCACTCACAAACTAACCATAATGAGCGAAGGCTGGATTTTAATGGGATGTTCATTTGAATGTGGCATGCAAAAGAGTTGGAGAATTTGCATTTCATTTTAGTTGTTGAGCTAAAACGCAGCACTTGTTATTCCTTGCAAATGCTCCAAGAAAAGTATGCAGGTAATGCGTCTTCACTGCGCCCTCTTGTCACTGTGTGGAGATGCAAGTCTGACACTAGCGGTGGTAGGTATGCTTTAATGAGTGTTGAAATATTCTACTTCTCAAAAGATACCGATTCTGTTACCAATTAGCAGGACTATGAGAACACAGCATTTATCATGCTATTTTTTCCCTTGCATTAAGGACAGAAAAAGAACTGGTGAGACACAAAGGAACAGGCCCTATGGAAATCCTCTCCCAGCTATACGGTGAGGTACTGTAAAACCCGATTTATCTCTCTCTAAAGACAGCCATCTTGCAGGAAAAGAATGGCGTTTTCATTTTGCAGTTCATCTAAAACCTTAATATCATTGCTAACCCTCACTCGTGTATCACCCCCATCATCCCCACGTCCCTCTTTATTCCCTTAACTGAAGTCTTTTCCGGTCAGGAGTGCTTCTGGTCTTTACCATCCTTGCCCTTTTATCCTGAATCAATTGCTTTAAAAAAAAAGATGAATATGTTGGCCAACTCATCGCCCACTCTTCTCCTTGGGCGCTTGGCTGCGGACAGACCCCAGGAGCTGGCGTCTGGAGGCCACTTAGAAACCGGTCAGAGGGCTCCAAGCTAGTATGACATCATCAAGCACCCACCTTTAATTGCGTCTTTCAAACACGACTGGGGATCCTGACCCCTCAAGCACACCCTTTAGTTCAGGGAAACCGTGAAAATGCATTAACCCCAGTGGCCCACGTCTGCCTTTAGCCCAGAGATGGAGGGTAAATGTTTACACACAGAGAGTTGGCATTAATTTTTTAATAACTTCCATTTTGTTCCAAGAAGGATAACAATTAATTTATAATCAATAAAAGATAGGCTACAAATATCTGCATTCCCTTGCTTTTCATTTAACTGAACTTGGCAGCATTTTTCCTACTTAGAGCAATAATTAATGCCTGTGTGGCGACATTAAAGATAAGCATTTTATACACACACACACACACACACACACACACACATATATTGCATTCATAAATTAAAAACTCATGTGTGCATTAATATGCATACAGCAAAAACAGAGTCATTCTTCCTTTTGTCATATGTAGCTACAAGATGTATTGATAAACAGCCAGATAAACATGTAGTTGTAAATAAGCTCCCATCCGAAGAGCACACTCCAAATTGTGATCATTTGGAAATATATGCAGTTAAAATTTTTACCTTCCTCCACAGCTTCAGAATGAAAAGATTCTAGAAACTCGTTTTGTTTTCTTCATCTTGGCTCCCAATTTCTACCTGGACATGGGATTCTGTCGTTACTTCTCCACTGAGCTGCTTTCAGCCCACGTTTCATGGTGCACTGTGCACCAGCTCCCTCGGCTCCAGCTGTCCCCTCACTCTTGTGATTACTGTGATACTCTCTCCAGCTCTGGCACAGCACATGCCACACAGTGCTGAGGAGGAAACTTGCTGAATGAGTTGACTCTGTGGATAGAGGACAGGTGGCCCCCAGGGCAACAACCTTCTGGGACTCACACGTTGTGTAAGCCTCACCTGGAGTGTGGGTGGGACCTGTGTTGATTTGATTCTGGCCCACGGAATATTGCACAGGTGTCAGCATGCTATGTTTGGGATTTATTAATAGGATGGCAGTGCCCATCCTTGCTATAGACTCTCTTTCTTGCCAACTTGGAGGAAGCGAGCAGTCAGGTGGCAGAGGGTTCAAGACAGCCTCCAGCCAACAGGCAGCAAGAAAGGGAGGCTACTAGTCTGGTGGTCACAAGGAGTTGAACGCAACAATCATGCTGACAGGAGCAAACCCACCCTCAATCGATCTTCAGCTGAGACCTCAGCCCTGAAGGACACCTGACTTCAGAACTGGAGCAGGAGACCCAGCCAAGGCAAGCCCAGGGCCCTGACTCACAGAAACTGGGACAGAATCAATGTGTGTTGCTTTAAATGGCTACATTCTTGCTGACATTGTTGCACAGTAATAGAAAAGTAATTCAATTCTCAAAACTAGACACCTCATTTTGGGTTGCTCCTGAAACAGGTATGACTTGCTAAGTTGGCAACCATGTCAATAGTTATCACATAAACTTCAGTTAAACCATCTGGGGCTTGCTCTTGGCCATGGGCTTAAATCTAAACAACACAGCCACTTAACCTGAAAACATCCAAGGCTTTCCACCAACTAGGCACACCTGCCTCCTAAGTAACTCATCCTCTCTCTTTATTTTTCCATGATTGTTTGGCCCAGTCAATTTATCTATGTCTCTCTACACTCTTCACTTGCAAATGAAAGTACGTCAGAGGCACTGGTCACTTCCAAGTTATCGTACATACCCTACTACTATTATGTGTTTATTATTAACATTATGTGTTTAGGATTTGTAGTTTCACTGATGGCAGACATATGGGATGGAAAGCAGGAGTAAAAGTGTCAAGGTCTGTTATGAATTTATGACTGCACAAAATGGTGACCTTCCCTTCAATTTCATATTTTTTAATCGGTAAAATTATCAATCTTATTTTTAAAATAAGAAATAACATGGTGCATTTTTCAATGCACACCATGACGCTGGGATATAGGATTTTGAGTTCCTCCAAGGCAGCCCCCAGCCTTAGGGCAGTCAGTCCTTACTTGGGAGTGGTGACTCAGCCACAAAGCCCAACGAACTCACCCGCAAGTTCTTAATCTGCAGCGTCCCTTGATCTTGTATGGTCACTCTTGGGTCTCTGCCCAGAAAAGTAAATCCCTCCTTCAACCAGCTGATTCCAGGAAGAGGGTCGCCCGTGGCTTTACACTTCAGCAAGGCTGTGCCATCCACTGCCAGCGTTTGGTTGGCTGGGCCTTGTAGAATTATGGGTGGAGGTCTGTCTGTCAAAACTAGAGGATAAAGATATTTTCAGGATATTTTAACTTCTATGAAATCCAGTAATCCTGATATATGGACATTGACAGCGAAATCCAAGCCCCAAAGCTACACACATGACTTACATCTGACTGAGGGTGCTCTAAACCAATTGTCTACCATCTGCATATCCATTCATGTGAACTACACAGAGGCCATACTATTGCTGATGACCTACCCTGCTTTACCTTCAGTTAAAATGATGTTGAGATAAAGCCTGACATTTTAGGCTTAGTTTTATTAGAAGGCTCGGGCATGTTAAAATTACAGAGAAAATATGGATAGCTGATGGCAGCCATTCCTTTTGTCCCTCACATGCATATTCACAAAAGCCTGAGGAGCGTCCTGAGCCCGAATCAACCTTCACTTCTGCTTTTATCACATATGATATATATATGAAATAAATACACATGATATATACGGCACCCCATTTCACCCTTCAGGGCACCAGTTGTGTGCTGTATTGATAAAGGTGAAAATATTTCTGTTGATGTCAAAATATTAGATTATGAATAATTTATTTCCAAAATTGTGACACTGGGTCTTCAAATTACAGTCATATCATTTGGATGATTTAATTAGTCCACATAATTAAGAAAAGAAAAGCAGTCCAGTTACACTATATTTATGAAATGACAAAATAGAGCTTTTGTGCAAAATCAGTGTTTACATATACATTCATATTTGTGTCCATTGGGGCAAATTTTCCATAATTTCATAAACTTTTAGTTTAGTATGCTTTTTGTTTATGAAATACTGTTTTGTAATAGCATTGCAAATGCTTTCAGAAGTATTTAATAATGACTTAAGAAGAAAATCAGAATGCGTAGTCTCATTTACAGGGTTAAGGAAATAATTGGAAGTAAGATTCATCTAGAACTCAGTAGAAGTTCACCATGTGGTCAGGACATGTTCAGGTTCAAGGAAGGCTTTCTTAAGAGAACGTCTGTAAACTTCAGCATAGACTTCAGTTAATTATCCAATACATGCTTTGAACCATATATATTTCCATGTAATATAAATCCAATATATACAAAAACTTGCTACATCAATGATAAAAGCCTAAGAGAAACAGGAAAAGATTGTTTATTGTTCACAGACAAAAATTAGAACCATATATTTTAGTGCTTTTCTTCACCAAATGCTTCATTTTCCAACTAGATAAAATAATCTAAAGAAAACATGGAAACAAAATACTGTAACAATTCAGACACATATGGTAACAATTGGGCAAACAGAGCTGCAAACTGAAAGGTTTCGTGGCATTTATTTATTTTGTGGGTCAAAAATGGAAGGTCAATGCACAAAAGATAATGAACAAATATTCAATCAGTGTGAAGGTGAGTCTGCATGTCCAGAGTGGAACACGCTCATTGCATTTCACTGATGCTACTTTTTAGTTTCAAATTAAGGACCTATAGAGAATTCAGGTAGCTTCTTACAATCTGCTTTTATTGTCATATCCCTGAAATCATTAGATGCAGCCAAAGGTCATCTAATTAGTTTTTCTTCTTCTCTCTTTTTTTTTAACTGCTCAAATGAGCAGTTCACCGCCTTTTGAATGATTTTGATCAATAAAGTAATTGAAAATCTCCCGGCTAGAAGGAATTTTCGGCTTCAAGGATGTTATGGGTGAAAGATGACCACAGGTTTCCATGACACAAAGGTCAAAGGTTAAATGAACATTTAGGGATCCCAGTGATCTGTGAACAACGGCACGGTCTTCTCTAACTGTGCATTATAAATTCTCAATAAACCATTCATATACGATCACGAGTGACATCAACGATCGATATAAGATATGAATACATTTCACCTCCCCCATTCTTCTAGATTCTACTGGCTCTCCTCACAGGATTACCATTGTCACTTTCTAATTCTCTGAGAGAAAAAGCACAAAAAGAAAGAAGAAATAAAGACTAGGCAGTGACATGATGAGGAGGTCTTTTAAGGAAGTATCTGCCACTGAGATGTGGTGAAACATCTTTGCTCCATCGTTAATCGGTAAAATTATCTATCACTCAACGTAGCACCTTTCATCACCATTAGCAATTTCATCTTATATGAGTGCTTGAATTATAAAGATTTCTAGAAGACCAATCCACAGGCACACATGTGTCAGCAGAAACACGGATGTGATGGAGTACAGGCATGTCTTGGAGGTACTGTGGGTTTGGTTCTAGGCTGCAATAAAGCAAATGTTGCAATAAGGCGAGTCACCCAAATGTTTTGGATTCCCAGTGCATAGGAAAGTTACGTTTACTCTATGCTGGAGTCCATTACATGTAAATGGCATTCTCTCTTAAAAAAACCATGTACATACCTTAATTTAAAAATACTTCATTGCTAGAAAAATGCTGACCCTCATCTGAGCCTTCAGTGAGTTGTAATATTTTTGTTGGTGAAGCGTCTGACCTCGATGCTGATGGCTGCTGACTGATCAGGGTGGTGGTGGCTGAAGGTTGGGTGGTCAAGGCAACAGACAACTGTAAAGCTTACTCCATTGATTGACTCCCCTTTTCTCTGTGGCATCCAGTGCTGCTTGACAGCATTTTATCCACAGTAGAATTTATTTTGAAATAGGAGATAACCCTCCCAAACCTTCTGCTGCTTTGTCAACTAGGTTTATGGAATATGCTAAACCCTCTGTTACCATTTCAACAATATCCACAGCGTCTTCCCCAGGAGTAGATTCTATCTCAGGAAACCACTGTCTTTGCTCACCCATAAGAAAGAACTCTTTATCCATTCAACTTTCATCATGAGATGGCAGCAATGTAGTCATGTCTTCAGGCTCCACTTCCAACTCTGGTTCTCCCGCTGTTTCCAGCACATTTGCAGTGACTTCCTCCACTGATGTCTGGAACTCCTCAACATCATCCATGAGGACTGGAATCAGCTTCTTCCAGACTCCTGTTAATGCTGATATGTTGACCCCATCCCATGAATCACAAATGCTCTTAATGGCATCTGGATTGGTGAATTATTTCCAGGAGGTTTTCAATTTACTTTGATCAGATTCATGAAAGGGACCCCTGGCTATGGCAGCTATCGCCTACACAATACATTTCTTAAGTAATAAGACTTGAAAGTGGAAGTGACTCCAGGGGCTGCTGAGTGGATGCTGTGTGAACAAGAATGAAAATGACATCCATCTCCTTGTATGGCTCCATCAGAGCTCCTGGGGGACAAGGTGTACTGTCAATGGGCAGGAATATTTTGAAAGGCATCTTTTTTCTGAGCAGTAGGTCTCAACAGTGGCCTCAAAATAGCCAGTCAACTATGCTGTGAACAGACAAGTTGTCATCCAGGCTATGCTGTTCAACTTACAGAGCACAAGCACAGAAGATCCAGCATAATTCTTATGTGTTGTCGATAATTTAAAAATGGCAGATTACATCGTTTACAATATCACAAGCATTGGTTTCAACTCAAAGTCACCAGCTGGATTTGCCTCCATGAGGGAGTTAGCCTGTCCTTGGAAGCTCTTAAGCCAGGCACTGTCTTCTTTTCTCCAGCTACGAAAGTCTAGATGGCTGCTTCTTCCAGTGGAAGGCTGTTCTGTCTACACTGAATGTCTGCGGTCTGGCGTAGCCTCCTTCCTCCTCAATCTCAGCTAGACCTTCTGGAGAACTTGCTGGCACGTCTCCCTTAGTGCCGACTGCTTCTGCTTGTGCTCCGTTGCTCTGGAGATGGCTTCTGTCCTTTAGTACACTCAGCTAGCCCAGGCCAGTTTCCGCCTTCTTCTGCAGTGTCCACATCCCTCTCAGAAGAGAGCTGGGGTCTTACTCTAATGGCTTTGGCTTACGAGAATGTGGTGGTTGGCTGGATCTTCTCTCCAGACCATGCAGACTTTCTCCATATCAGCAATGAGGCTGTTTCACTCGCTTGCCCTTTCTGCATTTACTGCCGCAGTACTTCCAGTGCCTTCAAGAGCTGGTCCTTTGAATTCACGACTTGGCCGAAGAGGCCTGTCTCTTCTTCCATCTTGTCTTCCGACATGCCTTCCTTCCTAAGCTTAGTCAAGTCTATCAGGTCATTACTCTTTTACTTTTGCCCTCAGAGACGAAACTAGAATCATTACTGTTTGGTGAGACATGATCAACTTCAAGTTCTCAAAAGCGTTCCTTTTTATGTGGCCAGACATAACCCTGAATACCCACCTGTTTCACAAACCCACTCAGTCACATCAACTGGCTAGTTTTCTTCATCAACCCCGTGTTCTTCAAACAGCCTTTACCATAACAATTTCCTCATTTAGAAACCTTTCAGAGCTAGGTTTCGGCAGATATCTGAGCCATTATGTCTGGGATGCTTTGTAGGGATATAGAATAGAACTGAGGCTTTGGGCACAATATCTTATTTTTCAAGTGTATGGGTCTAGACATTTTTGCTGACAGTACAAAACATAAGATCTTTAAAATGATTAATAATAATCTTTTATTGCTTTAAAGAAATCTGGAGGCATGAAGAATCAAAAGCTTGCCCATCTCAGGGAGAATTTCTCATCACTGCTGACCTTGAACCTGATGCCTCCTTTCAATTCAGCGGCCGGGAATCTCTGTGGTGCAGCCGCCATGGCTCAATGCTCCAGCCGTGCTACTCTGTTGTATCCCTTCCCATCCCTAATGTGCCACTAAACAGGCCATATCACAGACAGAGATTTTTAAATATCGCATTTCTGTTTTTTTATTTTGTTTTTTTGTTTGTTTGTTTTTTGAGTTGGAGTCTCACTCTGTCGCCCAGACTGGCGTGCAGTGGCCGCTTCCAGCCACCGCAGTCTCGACCTGCTGGGCTCCGGTGATCCTTCCTCCTCAGCCTTCCGAGTAGCCGGAATTACAGGCATGCACTACCACGCCCGGCTGATTTTTTGATTTATTGTAGAGATAAGGTCTCACTGCCTAGGCAGGTCCTGGACCCGCTGGCTCAGGCAATCCACTCACCTTAGCCTCCCAAAGGCACGGGATTACAGGCTGAGCCACCGAGCCCGGCTGCATTTCTGTTAGTTTTAAATGACCTTTTGATCTATGCGTAAATTTGAATTGTATAAAAAAACACATCGAATTTCACCAGCAGAGAAAGAAGAGAATTGGAGTGGACATGACATACACCAATATATGACATATGGCTTTCATATCTCAGAAGTCAGCATTAGGAGAAAAACAGAAACCAAACAAAACCTTCACAGATGGAAGAGAGCAAGAAAGAATCTTTCATTTAAGACACCAAGGAAAAGGTATAAAACTCCTGCTCAGAGGCTCAGGACATAACTACACCTCTCTGGCAGTCAAGTGTGACAAACAAGCTTCCAGGAAAAAAGCAGAGGACATCGAGCACCTGTCCTTTCCAGCTTCACAGTGTGTGCAGGCACATCAGCTGAGACCTCAGGGCACAGATGCAAATAAAAAAGAGTCATCTTTGCATCCATCAGGACTTCAGAAAGTTCTTTGTTAACTTAGTGAATGTAAAAATCAAGTCATAGGAATGTCCTAATGTGATTAGCTAAGTGAATGCTCATCTCTCTTTCTCTGATAGTATTAAAGGGAGTGTCTCATTCTCCTTGAGTAAAATAAAATTATTAATGTTTGTTATAAATGGTCATGTCAGCATAAGACCCAATAAAAATGCACAGATTACAATTCAATACAAAATGTGATGTCATTTAAAAAAAAAAAAATTCATCATAGCTGGACTCGGTGGCTCAGCCAGTAATCCCGCATTTTTGGGAGGCTGAGGTGAGTGGATTGCCTGAGCCCGCGGGTTTGAGACCCACCTGGGAAGCGAGACCTCATCTCTACAATAAATCAAAAAATCAGCCAGGCGTGGTAGCGCATGCCTGTAATTTTGGCTACTTGGAAGGCTGAGGCGGAAGAATCGCCGGAACCCAGCAGGCCGAGGCTGCGGTGGCCAGGAGCGGCCGCTGCACTCCAGTCTGGGCGACAGAGCGAGACTGCAACTCAAAAAAAAAAAAAAAAAAAAATTCATCACTATATATGTGAGGGGAACCCCCCAAAACTGGAATTTATTTATACAAATTGTGCATTTTTTCTTACATGGCTAAACTTCAGTTACCTTCAAAGTACTCTGCATTTGCTACAATACACCTTTTGAGATGCTTTTTCCACTGCACAAAACAGTTTTTGAACTCATCAGTTTTGATGCCTTTCAGTAAGTCTGCTGTTTTTTATTTCACCTCTTTCACATCAGCAAAACATTTCCCTTTGAGGTCTTTTATTCATCCAGGAAAACCAAACCAAAAGTCACTCTGGGCAACATTGGGTGAACAGGGAAGGTGGGTCATAGGGGTCATGCCATTTTTGGCCAGAAACTGCTGAACACTCCTTGCAGTGTGGGCACAGGTGTTCTCATGGTGGAAGGACCAGTCACCTGTTTGCCACAACTTGGGATGTTTCTTCTGCAAATTGTGATGCAACCTCCTCAAACCGTCCAGATAAAAACTTTAGTTGACCATTTTATCCAGAGGAAGAGATTGCAAGTGTACTACAAGGGATCTACCCTCCAAAGCATAATTGTTTTGGGGGGGAATTCCCCCCCCATGTGTGTGTGTGTGTGTGTGTGTGTGTGTGTGTGTGAGTGTGTGTGTGTGCTTTTCTTTTTTTTTGTTGAGGTGGGGTCTCACTCTGTCACCCAGGTTGGACTGCAGTGGCATGATCATGGCTCACCACAGTTTTGATCTCCTAGACTCAGACCATGCTTCCACCCCAGCCTCTCAAGTATCTGGGACCACAGGTACATACCAACACACAGGGCGAATTTTTTGATTTTTTTTGTGTGGAGTCAAGTTCTTGCTGTGCAGCCCAAGCTGGTCTCCAACTCCTGAGCTCAAGCAACCCTCCCACCTTGGCCTCCCCAAGTGTGAACTCGCGGGCGGGAGCCATCGCACCCAGCCCATTACGTTTGTAACCTCTAAACAGATTGGCTCTGATGTTCTTCTGGGGGGAAAAGAAGTGGCGTCGGATCGGGGAAAGTTGGAAGCCAATAAAGACGCGACTTCACCCAGATCCGCGCTTAGGGGATCAGCAGACTGAAGCGGCTGGACCCGTGGGAAACGCCGCACGGCCACCCTCGGAATAAGCCCACGCCCCTGTAAGACAAGTCCAGAAAGGGCATCGCACCGTCAGTGACCTCCAGCTGCGCCTTGGCCAGGATGCTCCCGGCCACCGTCAGGGCCTGGCAGATGTAGTAGCCGGCGTCC